GAATTTAAAGGCTAATAACTATCATTATGCCTGCACTTTCCGTCCATAAATACTTTAAGGAATATCTGTCAGGTTGAAATGCATAACATGATACATTACAGGAAAGTCATTAACCTGCATTAACATGCTTTTTTCGTATATCCTCATCTTGCGACCCCGAGATACCTTCTGGTGTACACCGTGGTAATGAATTGCTACTGTTAATAAATCCGAAGAAGAAATATTTTCGGTATTTTCATTGAATTTCACAAATAAAACCTGTTTCGTAACGGGTTTTCAAGCGATAACACCACTTTCCTGCGAGTACTGATTAATTGAACGCATGTGACGTTTTTCCGTATTTATGTAAGTGAAAATTTGTTCTGCAACACTAATGGAGTCCTAAATTTAATTGAAAATATCTCTTCATGACGTAAAGGTTTTATACCGTGATATCCGAACTGATTTACCCCAACCTGAAAGTATGAGGCTTTCTTGGAAAGAAATTTTGAAATCCTAGCACCTCACGCTAAAGTTCAGCAAGGTACCTAGGAGCACTACGGGGAAAAAGAAATATATTATTAGATACATTAGAAATGAAATCAAACATGGAAATAAAACGATATTTTCTGAAACTAAAACACCATGTCACTATATTAAAAACCTCGAATTTGAAAGATACTGGTTGAAATCCGAAGTAAAAAAAATTCAGAAAACAGACAAATCAAACGCAATTACTGCTCCAAAATTTATTACTCTTGAAACCATTCAGAAAAAAAGATGAGGAACGATTGCTTATCGTAGTGAGAAAACTTAACAAGTTTTATAGAAATCGTTTTAAAACTGAGTGAAACGGCATCAAGACAGCATCATAATACGATAGATAGGAAAGGAGGGGGAGCTGCTATTTCATGTTATGATTTTGAAGCCTATCATTGTTCAAAGAAATTGTTTAAAAGCTGAAAGACAATATCTCCGGACTATATTAAAACGCTGAAAATAAGAAAGGGCCATAACTCCAATAATAGTCGAATAAAAATGTATATCAGGAAAACAGACATTTCAGGCATGTAATTAAACATGCCAAGTATGATAGACATCAATTGAAAACCGCGACACGAAACAGAAACATGATGTTGTTTAAGAAAACACAATTGTGGGAAGCGATTTACGGCCTAATCAAACTTCGGACGGACGTACGGACGTACAACGTCATAAGGTAATATATCCAGTCAAAGTTATTGTCGACGGACGTAACACAATATTTCTCTCTAGTGCCACTATGATGTTATAAAGACAGAATTGTTAGGTATGGAAGATTTGTCATGAAATATCTGATTTGTCGATTTTAAGTCAAGTTATTTGTCAGGTTGAAATTACAGCTGGTAATGAAATATATCCGTTTAGGGAGTTTTGAAACAATCGATGCTGAACATTACGAATTTCAAAATGCTACCAGGTCCTTTTCCCATACTTATTTTCTTATTTTACATCTAGAATATGTTATATAAGGTTAAAAAAAGTCAATGGCTTGTTTTGAGATGAAAAGATCTTTATAACCATGAAGGTTTCATGGCTTGGGGTAAGCAAGAAATTGCCTATGTTGGCATAAAGCATTGCAATATTTTTTTTCCGGCGCAAACAATTCAAACTCGTAAAACGTTTATGATATGATAAACAACAAGTGTAGACTCATTTACAACCGACTTGCCCTTAACCAAAAAAAAAAAAAAAAAAAACTAAGAGTATGTTTGGTTCTGTCGTATATTGCGAAATTTTAAGTGTTCCCTGTTGGTTGATACCAGAAAATAGAATAGAGAACGAAACATTTTTATGGAAGCTGTGAAATATTCCCAACCATATATATTTCAGATTTCGAGAAATCCGTATTTCTCCTATGGTTTGGACTATAAATAAATAAAACAAACATAACATCGGTTTAAGTTCCTATAACAATGAACTGCTTTGTGACCATTTTCATTGAGCTCTTGCGGAAGTTATTGGAATGTTAATTGTGCCTAAATCACATTTCTTTATTGATGAAAAGTCTGTTCCATAAGCATTACTGGCAAGTTATACGCCAAAACTGTCTGAAACGAATTAGATCTACTGTAGAAAATAAGCGAAATTGTCTTTGTAAAGAATGTTTCTTTCCCTTTAATTTCGTAAGTACTCCAAGATACGTACATTTGAACTGCAATCAGATTACAATAATTCAATACTTTACAATACTAAGTCCCCTTGGTATACCATCGTATGGTGTAATCTCGGCTAAATCAACACTAACGAACATAATTGCAATTTCAAGCAAGTAATGAAAAGTCGTTTACTTTCGGGGAGAAGTTGAATGCGGGAACCATAATGAATTACGCCGTAACTAGGTGGCATGGAAATGAAGGTTGGGTATATGAACGACATTAGAGAAACGTGTGCGCGCGCGCGTGTGTGTGGCGTGGGTTTTTTGTTCCTTTACTCTATAATAATCTAACATTATATATTTCCTGAGTAGATATACTCTGACAAAATAATTATAAACCAACACTTACGAATTATGAACAAACACAAAAATTCAATTATCTGTCTTGCGACTATGAGAAATTGGCCCCATGATATCATAAGCCGTATCGTTATTAATACTGTTGTGTTTGACAGAGGGGTTAAAGTTCTTTTATGGAGGTGAAATCTTACAGAAAAATCATTTAAATGAGTTCTTTGAAGTCCTTAAAATCTTTATACGACCTACGGGAGCTACAGAACTGTGTAATACACCTTGTTTCTAAGGTGAAGACGATTGTAGTCATTTTAGGTAATGAATACAGTCATGTGATCTCCATGGAGAAATATATCGATAAAAGAATGATAAGACACACGTGATTTTAGCCAATTAGACAAAAGTAGAGACACCTAGTTAAATTAGAAATTTAGTTCCGAGGGAGTGTTCGTCTCCAGTTCTTCTAGAGATAGATGGACTTAAGTCGAGACTATTTAAATACTTTGAAGTTAAAACTTACATAGAAATCAATATTTCGTTTCAAGTGAAAACCACACCGAGTTTGTTTTAACGCTTTCGGTAAAACCCGAAAATTTTGAAAGGTCAAAACTAACTTTGCAGTACCAGTATTTGTAGGTATAAACGGAAAAATTGTCTGATGACAGATTGTAGTGTAATTAATCAGATAAACCATTATTGGCAAATGGTATCTTAGAAAATTAGTCATATTTTATATATGTACTAGTTAAAATCATTGATCTTTAGTTGTAGATTTTAGGAAAGTATTCGTGATATACAGATGGTCCGCCTATACAATTGACGAAATAAGTAAAAACATCAGATCACTATGACAGAAGTGGCTGTAGAAATTAGAGTGATCGACTTGTTAAGGAGATTTTGTGGAATATCCACTTGAAGTGTGTGAAATTTTGTGGGCTTATTACTTAGAATAACATTTTATTGTTTATAGACAACATCAATGGACAATAACTATAATGCAGGTTTGATTGTAGCCATAGATTTCTGAAATCCTTAGACAGGCTGTCATTGAGTTACATATGTTTGTTGTAATTGAGATGTGTTCGTAATGCGCAAGGACATAATTTTTGCCAGCTAACATTAAGCTTTTGGTATGACATATGTTATACTAATGAGAATAGAGATTTTTCGCGATCTAGTGAAAGGACTTCTCGTATTGTCATGTTACTTATCATCATTATATTTCTGGGGTAAATTTTGTGACATCTTCATGTTTTGATCGGTATCATAAATGCTCATATTCAGTCAAGTGTAACGTATATCATGATTGGAAGGTCTTATTGCAATGATCTCAAGTGAATTAATGATACAACATGGCCCCCAAGACCATATTTCAAATTCCATTGATAATACAGCATTCATGCATTAATATCTGAAGAAAATATTCAGGGCTTATTTTTCTCATTAGTGTTAAATGTTACATAACATCATCACTGTAGGGTCAAAGTTCACATTGTTTTCCCATTTTTTGATATTGTGATAACGAATCTTTCTGTATTCGATGAAGAATGTCGTCCTGAAGAATTTGGTGCCATTATTTTCCCTGTAATATTCACGTTTAACATTATTCGCAGTGGTTCAGTGGATCCTGTATACAATGCGTCCACATCTGTTTTTCTCCTATGCATATAACGAGTTTTGTATTTGATTGTAATATCAGTTTTTTTTTTTTTTTTTTTTTTTGGTTTTTTTTAATTTTTAAAAAAAAACAAACAAAAAAAAAAAAAAAAAAAAAAAAACCCAAAAAAAAACAAAAAACTCGGGAAACATTTCTGTGCAACACAATAGACAAAGTTCAGTTTTCGGTATAGGTCAAAATTCAAAAGTGTTATTTTGGAAAACATCATGGCATATTTTTTTCTTAAGATTAGCAAGGTTTATATCTTTGATATTTGATATGCAGATGTTCAGGTCAAAAGCTATTTAACTTTTAGAATTCATGACATTGACCCACATCCACGGTCACAGGAGTCTAATGTGTTTAAAATCTTTGAATAGCCCAGTCTTATCAATAACCAAGAGGCAACCAAACTTATCTCAATGAATGTACCATGACCGACTTTCAAGGTCCCAGCGGAAAATATATATATATTTATTTTCTTGTCATTAGCCAAGTGACCCGGGTTGTGATATTTGGACTGTAGCATGAACTTTTAACGTCAAAGAGGTCAAAAATGCAATTTTTTTTCAGATATATTGTAAGCATTTTTTGCCATAGGTTTGATATAGGTAAAAAGATGTTAAATTGTAATCATACCATTAAAATTAATATGGCTTATCCATACTTTGTATCACTCTTGATTTTAGTCTATTTAAAATTTTCATTAATTTACAATCATTCATAGAAACTCGAAATAAAATGGAGAACTCTTTTGTTGTCGTTTCTACTCCCTAACATATTATTGGGACATCTATGTAATTAAGGTGCTAATTTTATCTTTGTTATTCTTATATCATTGATTAAATAATCATTGTCTTTCTCGTTTAGAGTATGCCAACAATAACGCCGGATATCCTGGTTTTGACGCTGATGATAATATTTGTTGCTGGTATGGTCAATGCTAGGCCTAAAATTGGAAGAAGATTTTGTGCGTGAGTATTGACAAGTTCATCAATTCGTAGTTGATGGTAACATTTCTATACCAGATATCGACTTAATACGACAGTTTAAATCATCATGATAGTATGTGACAATATATATAGACAATATTGTAATATTGGGGAGATCACTCCTTTGGATTCACTGCTTGCAAGAATATTTCACAGTTAAAAATGATTGGAAGTGTCTTACAATGGGTATCTAATAAAATAAATATTCTTCTGAAATGAATGAACGTCTGCGTGCTTGTATTAAGTTTCAAAGATTTAAACTTCTACAGTGTGAGATAAGTCCTTCGCCACTCTGATACCTTTCAAAAGTAAAACACAATATAAAACATCTGTGATAATAAACAACATTATCACTCTCTGCATTTCTGACTGCCATAGTTACTGAATGAATGTTTTTTTTTTTTTTAAAAAAAACTGTCTTTGAAAATGCTTCCTTTTACACAGAAATAATCTATTGCAAAACGTCTATTCAACGCGTTCTTTACACCTTGTGACGAAAAGATGAAATATACTAAGACGAGATTCCATACGTTAAATTACTTAGGACAATGAAAATCTTTAATGCCATTCCTGATGTAATATAAAGTAAGAAGTTATTTTTGTAACTATTGGTGAATAACGACAGTGTTATCAAAAGGATAATTATTTCATGTAAACTGTATTTATCTATAATTGTATGGAATTATGTTAAATTGATGTAATGCGTTTAGTACTGTCGTTTTGATGGAATTTGTTGTCATTCAATTGGTTTGAAAGCAGTTAAAAGACTGAACAAAATACACAAGTGAACAGTATATTTCAATGCTAAGAAGAATTTGATAAAAAAAATAGCCAAATAGTGAATTAAACTATTTCGTCATTCGTTCGTTGATACTGAGGACCACGTGTATGGAAACCTACTAGAAGGAGGTGTTTGAGGAAAGGCAAAATGTAGCTGTCAAAATGTAGACTCGGGGTTGCAAATTGTACTTGACCTCTTTACATTAGGGCCTTAGTATAGCTCGCTTGATTCTATTATCCAAATATATTGAACAATCAAAGCAGAGGACGCTTGCTCTTTCGGAATAACAGGTCTTATTTTCTTTTTACTTTTTTAGAATCGCCTTGTTAATCCTTCTTTTGTTCATATTTGCCCTAGTTTTATTGAATAATTTTTTTTTGTATTTCAGACATTATCCCTTTGCTCCCCGATGTTTGGGCGTTGCAGCGAAAAGGGATGGGGAAGGAACAAATAAAATGACCAACAGTGGTATACCAGACTATGGAGACCTTTCCTCAATGTAAGTACATTACATCACAGAATTCTCCTCTGAGGAATGTCTTACAAGATCCTCGCAATGTAAAATATCATGTTGCAAAATGCAGCCGTAAATCCAAGAAGCTTACTTTTAACTCACATATTATTGACCAATTCATCGCCTACAACACATTTGACACACCAGTGAAGACAAATTGTTTAACTATATAGAACTATTCTGCATTAAGTATCAGATTCATGAGTGATATATCATACTTGTTTATTTCGAGTTTATATTAATAGTAATAATAGTTTCTGCTCCTCGTCATCATCATCATCATCATCATCATCATCATCATCATCATCATCATCATCATCAGCTACAGTACTTATGACACAACGATGAAGACAAATTGCACAACTATATAACTATGGATACCTTATTCCGATGTCTGCATTTCATATAAGATTCAGGAGTTAAATATCTGATTTGTTTATATCGAATTTATATCAAGGGCGATATCAATAATGATTTATTAGTGAGTTCAACACTACTCACGTTTCGTGTCTTTTTCTGTAGCACACTATAGTGTACTTTAAATGTAGGTAGTTACGTTGTTAAAAATCATTCCCGGATTCCGGTATAATTAATCATGTGAATACAGAATTTTACTTATAAAACTGACACATTTTGATATTTCCCGATAACATAATAAAATTGGAGTTATTTATTACCCTTATCCCAACAATTCCAGTTATCAAACTAATTTCAAATAGTATATTAGCGGAAATTGTATTGGACCAGATTTCCAACAAACAGATGTCTTCCAGACATATCGTCTTCGACCGCTCTGTCCGGAAACAGGATGGGAAGTTCAATGTCTTGTTGCATACACCTACAATGATTAAAAATGATTTTCCATTGTTAAGACAAAAACTGTTGAGGAATATACGGAGTGGAGTATCCCCTAAGGCAGGCATAAAGACGTTGTTCTATTTATGTCTTCATCCAAGGATAATGACCACGTTTGAATGGTGCCCTGTTGGATAATTTCATTGTAAACATGCAGTATAACATGAGAACATTTCAAATCATTTCCACAGCGATACATTAATTCCTTAAAATCAATTTATAAGGTGACAATGATTCTATGCCGGTTTTTCGATTTTTGCTTCCGTATCGCCCCATAAGAGTGATGATGCTTTAATTTTTTATTTTTGCTCAGAGAGGAGTTTCGATGTCTAGATAACATAATTTGATAGAGCAATCAATTAAATGCCACTCTCAAAAGACACTCCGCACAGGCATCCAGTCATATTTTAATACGTTTCACCATTCTAGAATTTCGTTAATAGTTTATATTGTAGTATATTTTAAATGTGTATGTTGGCGTAGTATGTTCTATTAATTCAATTTATCGTGGTATATTTCTAATAGTTGCGGTGGTAAAATGTGTATCAGTACTAGTAAGTATTACATAGACTGTCGAAATCCATATTGAATAACTCTCATGATGCAACCTTCAATGTTACAATGCTCAAAATACACTTTGCAGCGAAACGGATACAGTAGTTTATAGAATTTCATACTCGAATTTTGAATCTATTACATGCAAAAAGATAAATTAGAAAATGTTGTTTATCTTTCAAATTTTACTGTGGTAGATTTGCTGCATCTGCAATAGCCGAAATGAAAGATAGAGACTCGATTGATCAGCACAGGATGACCATTGCAACCCTAATAGGTCATGGTACTATCACTCATAAGTTCTTGTTAATCTCCATTCATGCAGAATACTGTGTTCTTAAATACACTGACCTCAACTTGTATCACACTACCTTTGAACTTTGACTTTGAAATTCAAATCTTTCATCAGATAGTAAAAACACATTTTCATTTCAAATAATTGTTCATTGTGATATTTGAACCACTGTATTTTTGTTGATTCTTGATAGCTTTTCAACATGTTAGTATGAAACAGTAACGCATTACCATATGATCTCGACAAATATGATAAAGCATATGATTCAACTAATTGCCATTAATTTAAAACAAGTAGATAACAATATTCAGTACACATTCGAGGATAACAAAGTCTAAGTTGATTTCGAGTTAACTGATTTATTCTATCTTTAGTCAAACCAGACTGATTAATTGTCAATAGTTTATTTCCGGCTAGACTTAGAAGAGGTCTCGAAATTACGATTGTGAGTTTAACTTTACATTTGTTCACAGCTCGTGCGTCATATTCCAAGGATAATTTAAATATTTTGTAAAAATTGAAAACAAAATACAAAAATAAAAAGCATCTATAAACACACCCAGGACAAATAATGAATAAGGTAATGTAAATTTTTAAAATTTCAATTAACAATTTATTATCTAGCTTAATGAAAAGCGAAACAAGAACGTAAATGCTTATTTCATGGACGTCAGAAATATAAAAATCATTGCTATAACAAGATTAAGAAGAAACAATCGATGATTAACCGACAAATTACAGTATATTGTGGATGTTCATTGTCTATTTCCAGTTGCAATTTTTATTACAGTTTCGCAAGCGAAATATAAAAATTCAGCAATTTGATAAAGACTGCTTTCAATTGATGTGATTTTCTGTAAGGGCGCTAATGAAGCGTAGGTTGAATAAGTTGGTTTTCAATCAAATAATTTACGTGTACAGTTTTGGTTTTTCTCTAATTTGAAATATATATCAGAGATTCAGATATCAACATTATATGGTATAATACAACGTTAAACAGCCTATTTCAAATGGTGTTCAAGCGTAACGTCAAACTATCTGACGTCAACGTGCAACAACCGCAAACATTTCCCGACAATTTTATAACACCGCTTTATCTTATGTTTGGGTTTGCTTTTTTCAATTGTTTTCCTTTAATAATGCAAAAACAAAATGAATAAATAGATAAATGAAAAAGAAAATGTAATGGTTTACCGTTAAAGGTCATAAATATTTCTCACATATTACAGAATACAAGTGCTATTAAACGGGCACCTGTAAAAGATCTATATATTATCTAAAGCATAAAATAAAAAAATGAAAAATAACAATGAAATAGCATAAGATAATGTTTGTGCTATGATATAAATTTGAAAAAAACACGTACTCCTTCGTGTCGTTAAAGCAGTCAATCGTCTCTAAAATGTCAAAGTGTTGTGTCGGTGTACCCGCAGTGATTGCAACCCCATTTCTGGAAAATTTGTGAGATTCATTTGATATATTCATGGTGTTGTCAATTGTTTTTGCACTAAAATCGTTTTTGTTTCTTACTGATGACTACGTTATCACAACCGTAGACATTTTACAAGGAAGCTATCTCTGGTGTACCATCAGTACTAATACACAAGAAATATGAAGCATATAGATCTGTAAAGAATTTGCAGAAATAAAATCATCATATCCCACACAGATTAAATGCTATATTGCATGCTAACATGCAAAAACAATTATTTAAGTGTAAACCTCTGTAAGTACACATGCCTGCATTGATCACAATATCGTCAAACAATATTCCCAGATGATTGTGAAGTCTGGAATTGAAACCGTTTTCTATCTAATTCCTACAAGACATAGAATTAGCTTTACTGTTAATAAAAGATCCTAATTTTAACTTGCTGTCATTAATTTTATTATCTTTCTTTGTAATGTCTATTGACAGTCATTATGTATATCATCATTCTATACACATTAAATCTATAATGCTTCCATTACAGTGTTTTACGATCCAAAAGCGATATCGATGATAATCCAGTTGACGTTTGGGACAGTCATGAAGGAGGCGATGACGTCAACAAGGCAGTTATTGTACCAATAGGTGTCCTGAGTAAAATACTTGGTTCAAAACCAGCAGCAGAGCTGAATAGAGCACAGGTAAGCTTTTCGAACAATACATCTTGTTTTAATGTCACGAACTGGCTAAGAAAAAAATGTACAGAAATTGTTTCCGTTTCAGATGTTCAATGTAATAGTTAATTAAAGCGAGAAATACCACTTCTTCCATTTGATTATAACAGCCACAAGATAAATACACCTCTTAGTCGCTAAAAAAATAATAATATCCGTTTACCTACGTCAGACTGAAACAATGTAAGCGTTCTTGATATATACTTAACCATGCGTTTATTGAGACGAAGTTTTTTTCAGATTCAGTTAATTTCTGCCGAAACATGATGGTTCAGTTCCATGGATATGAATTATACTTTTGGAACAATGGAACAGATGTTCTTTGTCTGGTTTATTGTGCCGCATGTGTGACTACAGGAGTTACATTACTAGAAGTAATACATAAGAGATAGACAAATGCTCATATTCCGTATATTTTACTTAGTGGTCTTCCGCCTACACTTTCTGATGTTACGTTTTCGTTTTTAACAGATAGATCTGATTACTATAATGTATTATTCGTGACGGTAATGAATCAAAATTTATTACATTCTTCATACTTAGCGCTGATAATCTAATGGTTTTATAATCTAGTTTTATCGAATGCACCAACATCTTGAATATATACTTAAATGACGTTGGACCTGCCCAAGAGTATGATAACAACAACAAAATAATGCCAAATTAACAAATTCCTTGTTCAAACTCAATATCGTTAAAAAAATGGCCAAATGTAACCAAAAGAAACGTTTATTAGAGATTCTTGAAATGTATAAATAGAATGAGGAATAAACCCGTAGTCATAAAATCATTCTCACACCTAGGGCCGAAATATGTGCTCAATTCAACTTCTCTTAGAATCTTTCTAAACTTTTCTCACATCATTTAATATTATTAATCCATATTTCACATTATCACCAAATGCATTTGAGCCTAAGCATAAAATATGTACTTGAGCGTGAGTGCAGCAGTTTCACGAATACGGGCCCAGACGTTCCGGAAGGATGGGCGTTGTATGCTTTTCCAATGACACACAAAGGTAAATTTTGGTCAATTAAAGTGAGTTATGTGACGTCCCCAAAACACGGATATCAAAAACGAAACTACCAGGTGTACTAACGAGCGTCAAGTCCTTCTTCATTTCTCTGAAGTCAATAAAACAATTCCCCCCAAAAGACCATTGAGACAACAGAATCCCAAGTATTGCAAGTTAATCTGTCAGCTATAGGAATAAGCTTAATGATATCCTATCAACGTTTTGTTGTAAAAATCATAGGATAGCAGGAATGTTGTTATCAAGAAATGTAAAATTCTTAATACAAAACTATAGATTATTCGAAATCGTCACAAATGTACCATGGTTGTCTAGACTGCCACCGCTTGTACGATATCTGTAAATTAGCTTCGTTAATCATAATAATTCTTCAGTACAAACAATATAATTGTACCGCTTATCTGTGATAAGTGAAAGAGCCACAGTATGTTTCATTTCTGATTGTATCTGTATATTGATTTATAGAAACTGTCGCATTTATTATACCTGTGATTTATTGACACGAGATTTAGAACTTTTTTGTAGGAAACAAGAAAAAAAAAGGTCGTTTTTTTAAATAAAAAAAAACATACACACATAAATGTAAAACTCGTCAAAACCGATAAGAAATAGGAACTCCCCGAAAAAATTCTGGACAAGTATATATGCTGAAAAATCCTATTTTAGAGAAGGCATGAATAATAAGTCTTGATACCGCTTAGGTAATACTGCAACAGGGAAATAGCATGCATGGCAACAAACAGTTTTAATCTCAAGAATCAATCGTACGTACAGACATAATGCAGGGATCATATATGACTGATTTACTGACCAGACATCTAAAACACAATAGAAACTTACTAGATAGCCAGTAACGAATGACAATCAGATAACACGCCAACTTTGGCCGCGCTAGTCTCTGAAACCGGTAATGGTTGGCCACCGCGGGGTGGAGTGGAGAGAACGAGCCAGGCAGGATAATGATAAAGGCAATAAGAGGTATCAGAAATCAACATTAAGTACCAATTGATGCTCTGAATGTGATTTTAATCGTAACTTACAGAACATAATATTGATATATAGCGTTATTATTCTTCTCACCTAACCCGTTGATCGAAGAGATGATGTATTATTCGAATGTGTCGTGACCGAACTGAGAGAAGGCTATTTGGCGCAAGTATATCAATGTTGAATTACCAGGGATTACCTTTTAAACAATCAATTTAAGGCTAAATATAAACTGCTTATGAGAGTTCCGTAATGTAAAAGCAATGAAATTTGTGTTTCGATATATATCTAGATGTTTTCTTCGTACGTGTTAGATATGAAGGTAAATATTAAGTAATTAATATGTTAAAGAACAAGTGTTCTTTGCAAAAAGCTTACGATTTGCATGGCAAGGAATGTAATTACTTTTTTACCAGGACATAGTTCGATAATTTACGAAGTCAAAATAAATAACTGGGACTATACCTCTTTAAGAACTATAATTTTTTTGACATATAGAGATAAGTAAAATGTTTCAAGTAAAATATTCATTTCCCAGCTAATAAGGGTCTACCAAAATATATGGAAGATGACCAACCTCGTTAAATCGCCTGATCAATGGCTTCCTTCCACAATAAAGTAAGGGTGAAAAGAATTATGCTGACGTGAATCACAATCAAAATGAAAACAACATCTTAATTTGTAAACACAGAATATCATGTTATGATAAAGTAAGGACTTAATGTGTTTATACGATGATATCAATAGTTGATATTTAGATGAGTTCAAATATATGGGTTAAATCACTATTAAGGAGAAGTGTGTACTTATGAATTTACATGTGAATATCTTTCAATATATTTTAATAATTTCTTTATCAAATCAAATGATTCCACAAGGAATTTCCAATATACAAATAAGCCGATAGTTCGAGTTATACTTTAAAAACGGAAAGTAGCTCATAGACAAAGCCAAAGCAATCATACACCTTCTGATTGTTCCATCTTTGATCGAAACAACAACAACATTGTATAGATTTAGATACATCCCAGTAAGTAAAGAAGTCATGTTCTCAAATGAGGACAAGGTCTATAATAACGAACTCAACAGGGAAACTAACGAGCATCAAGCATGGTGGCCTGAAAATAAGGTAGCGATTACCTTTATGTTTATTCCTTTGGAGGTGAGAATTTGTTTCTAGTTTTAGCATTTTAGATTATAATTCACGTTTAGAGCAATCATTCACAAGGGAGTCTTGATAATCGTATGAGTAGGGTAGCTAATTGATAAAGACTGAAAAAATGGGTGACTAGGACAAGCTGCGTAAGAAAGTGATGCAGACAGACATATGTGTATCAAAAGCCAGGGCCCAAGTTAGTGTTTGTGTATATGTTCAGTGCACAGGGATTCTATCGTACGGAACCTGTTTGTACATTTACCTTAGTTCAGGAGGTCAGTTTGGCAGCTATATCTAGGATAGATAGAGATATCCTATATTTAGAGGAATGGAATGACAGCCAGATATATTAGATGCCTCCTCGTCATTTCCGCGAATAACAGGCAAACTAACAATCATCAAACACGTCCAGCTTCATAGGGCAGTAAGAAATATATTTCAATGAGATCACTGTGCACCATGCAGCTGTTTCGTCCATTTAGTACTCATCAGTGATGTTAAATTCCTTTATGTCAACAAACTGACTACGCAATTTCTATGTATGATGTAAATGAGTTGTTTTGCTGTATCATATTAAGCATTAAACAATGCTTTATTTGGGGCATTGATGACCAACATATTATGCGCTGAACTGAAACTGTATTAACTCTAGTCAAGTGGAACAGTGATCCATAACCGTTCAATTGATAATGGTGTTGTTGGATGTCAATTACATACAATTTCACCAGTTAATTACATTTATTAAATTTCTTTCTTGTGTACAAAAAGGATTTTATGAGAAAACATTTACTGCCAAATTTCATATATGAGTTTCGTTTTTGTTACAGTAGAGCAAAACAATGAGTTTAATTGTAGCATACAGCTGCCTCGTCCTTCTAGAATTCGTCAGTGATGCTCAGGGCTTAAAATTGTAGCGACTAAGGAAAATCCAAAATGATCGAAAGAAAAGTCTTAACATAGAGGTGCATATGATTAGATACATTTCCTAATTTCCGTATATTGAATTGAGATCAATTATATAATTCCGACAACACAGTCCTTCTGATAGAATAACCTCCTTGACAGTTATCGATTCCCTTATAATTTGAAATTATTTTAATATTCTTTTCAGAAGAGACGGCGTGACATGTGGATGGACTATGACACTGGCCGGGAGTAAAAGCTTAAAAAGAAGAACAATTTGATTGCCTTGCTCGGCTCTTATGTGCTTTTCAAAGTCTGATTCTTTTCAAAACTATTTTCCTACCTGTAATTTCTTTATTCAGAGACGTATGAGAGGGAATTCCCTTTTATAGAATATTTTCTTACATAATTCTATACGTCAGAAGACGAAATATCATTCATTTGATATTCTATTTCCTAAATCTAGTATCTTAAATTATGGAAAAATGTTATCACACTGTACAAAGTTTACGTATATTTGATCATTATTGTAATAGATTATTTTTTAACATTTAAATGTATATATAAAATTGCCAAGAAAAACAGATAAAACCTACGGACGACTTCTTAAGTGACAACGTATCAAAGTTGTTCCGCGTTTTGTTTATTCATGACATGTGAAACGGACCATTTAATTTGGAAAAACAGAGAGATTGTTTTAAGTCAAACCATGATTTTTCCATTAATGTGTCAGTTTGTAGAAAATTGAATAAAGAAATCAGGATTCGTTCTCCAATAAAGAAACATCATTAGTTTTTTGTTTTAATTCTTCATTTCTTGGCTTATAAATCAAAAAGTGATATTCCGTTTTGAGGAGTGATAGATGGCGAGCACATTTTCAAATGTGTAATATTTCCTTTCAATGAAACATGTTTTGTACTTGGTTCCAAGTTGCAGCCTATATTCTATGAAAAAAAGGGCTGAAATTCAATAAGGAAAATATTCTGATAGACAAAATGGCCATGCCCTAACAAACTATAAACTATTGCAACGATGGTACTTACAACAGGTTACGGATATCTGTATATGACGCTTCAAATCATATAAACATGTGTGATAATTATATAAATAAAACATACGGTGGAATAGATCTTCCATATGTGTTGTCAATATCAATTTAACAGTTATATCATGTAAACGCTGCATTTAACATTCGACATGCATTGAAGCATGCATATCTAGAATGACATAAAAACATCTTAATACAAGTAGACATTTTGTCCGTATATATTTACATTCATCTAAAATTGTTAAAAAATCAAGGCATACAATAGAATAATTATATATTTTTGAAAGAAATACTGTTAGGATAATCAGTCACGCGATCATAGAAAAAAGAGGACACCAACACAACAAAACCGAAATTCTTACAACTGGGACAAAAACAACCAAGAAGATATAAGCATGTAAACGGAATCATAATGCAAACACATCGATGAAACTAGGGCAAAAAACTAACAAAAGAAATATTTACACGATGACGTCAGAAAAAGTACAAGAATGCAAAAAAAAAAAAAAAAAAATGAAAATGAAAGGTGTGCCGGAAGGGTTAGCATCTTCTGCTTCATCGACTGCACTCGCGATGTAAATCATGGTCAATCCATATAGGTATAGTTACATTTTTGAATGAGAACAATATAAAACAATAACAAATCCACGATACAGACTTCAAACATGTTTCATATCGGACAAAGAAAATGAATATTGCACGATGAGATCTTTATGACGACTAGAAAACTTCTTAGAAAACCCAGTGTTGAGAATTTGCATGTTTGTTGCCGTAAATTGTAATACTGGAAATACTCCAAAGAATGTAGACACCATATTTGGAGATGGAACACTCACAATAGGGAAGTCATCACGCTTATCAAACATGATGGTTCTCTGTTTGTTTCACTCAAAAGATTGAGGTAAGCAGCTGATGTAGAGTATATTTCCCTTCATTTCTAATTCTGGTTGGTAAATACGATGATCATGATCAACAATTTTGTAATTCAAATACAAAACGTCTTTAATATATCTAAAAGTGAAATTGAAAGACAAATTCTTACTTCTTGCTTATACGGGTATCCTTGAATCGGCCAAAGGAGAATATGATCAAGTGATTTGAGAGGCGTCTTCTAGAACGCCCAACATCTAAATCAATCAATCCTAGCAATGCCGTGTTCTCAAGATGGGAACCGGTTTAATATTTATTTCATAAAGACACCAAAATTATGACCATAAAACTTTCTCGTGCACTTCATCAACATGAATCACTTGAAGGCCCCGTGTTTTTACATAAATATATGGAATAACACAAGAACAAATCAGCTACGATATGTAAGGGTTTTTGCTGCTGCAATTTGTCTAAAAATTGGAATATTTCCGTGTATCATACAGCAAAGTAGAACGGAATCCCAGTTGCTGGAATTTTTTAAATATCGAGGTTATCAAATAAGGCAAAGAAATTGTCTTGAATTAAAGTTCTGGAGTGTATATCTGATGGCCTCGATATATTACTGTTCATTCTCCACATGAGCATCAAATACAAAGTGCATTTTTATTTCTTCATAGCGGCAACAGTGTTTTACGAACGATTTAAAATATAAAAGATAAGACAGTACACATACGCGATGTTCACATAAGGAATGACTTGACGAGAATAAGTACAGAAAATGATGTACCTATGTAACTCCAAAGCGGTATTACTTCTAATTTTTTATTTTGTGGATGGAGTCGTTTTAAGACAAACTAACAGTTAGTGCTTTAACACCTGATTATGCCAGGATATATATATATATCAAGATATTTTCAATTCATTTCGGATGAAACTCTGTTAACTGTATGTCGCAACATCCCAAATACTGAATATATATGTTTTAACGGTTATATTTCTTTTTTATGAAGTAAAGCGTTTTATATCACCAGTTTTACAAGATATTTTTAGGAATCGATACGTATCAATCGATGCAAAAATCCTTAGCACAGAGTAAATATAAGAATATAAAAATCAGTTAAATGTTTGTGACCTGAAAAGTTTATCATTGAACCCGTGTATAACGATATGCTATCTGTTATGTTGTTACCTTTTGATCATTTTTTTTCTTTATCTTTTTTTAATATCGTCTTAGCCCTAGTTATTCACATCTCGGGATAGCAATATCTAAATTACACGAAAGATTAATACATTCTTTCGTGGGAACGGACTGGCGCCGCGAATCACTAATTTAATCAGTAGCCTTTCAGATGTTCAGTTGTAAAGATCCCTTGAGAAAAACAAAAAATCTCTATTCGTTTTATTATGTTAAATGGATACACTGGAGAGTATCAGGAATCTGTGAAATCCATATCGATTGATTTATTCGTTTCACACGTTTATTTTTTTTCCATCTTATTCAATGGTTTTTGATATATGTTTTCTTTCGAATCCCATGACGTGAAACTCGGAAATAACATGTATTACATCACCAATTAATACCTGTTGATCAGTCCCTGTTGAGGCATCTGTGATATCTACAATGTGAGATCGGCTCTCAATGCATGTCGTTTGTTCTGAGATTGATTCAGGTGCTCATCTGAATAAAAAGTATAAGCACAAAGAGAAACATTATATTCACATGATGCATTTTGGACAAAAAGTTCCTGATATGTTTCATTTAATTATTATAAATAAACATACATAGATATACGAAATAGTAAAGTTTTCTTATAACAAATTTTGTCATAAAACGTGAAGAGTTTTATAGATGTCGTATTCTCAAGAGGGTTATACTTTTTCAGACTATATGTACCTTGGATATCATTAGACATGCTTTTTCAAGCAGGGACATTTTGATTATTATTATTGATATCGACGAACTTAAAAATACGCCAAGCACTTGCAAATAACGTAAATCTGTCAAATTTTGACATACGACAAAATATAAAGGCTAGCCTTCACACACAGAGAACACGATATTTGGATATATATTTCTATAATTCTAAATATACTCTCCTTCCAATTTCACACAGTTGATCCATATAGTTTGCAAGTAATTGATGTCCGATCGGTAGAACTTAACATCCATCTTGGTTTCCCACCCAGCCTACCGCATCAACACTAAGCTCATTATCCTCAAATCCCCGGCGCCAAAAGTATTTAGTCGCTGGAAGCTAGGTTCGGAGAACATGATGAGTAAGGGAGGATATCATAGCCACACTCGCACACAGCTTCCATCGCAACACGTCTTGTGTGAAAAGATGCATTGCCCTGATGAAGCAGGATGGAGTTTTCCTTGGCGATTTGCATTGTTTTATTGACGCACCTGCTTCAGCATATGAATGTCATAATCTCCTGTTAATATTGGTTCCTTGGGGCATGTATTTCATGTGCATAATTTCTTTACTGCCCAAAACTGGTTACAATAATCTTCTTGTTGGACTATGTAGCTTTGCATTTCATTGTTTCTGGATATGTGGCGTGTTTCCATTCCATCGATTTCTGTTTACAACCCTACCAATTTGGTAAAGCCTTCACTGATGAAGATCCTCGATTGCTTCATCTGAAAGCTACAATATCCATACCTTGGACAAGTGTATTCTGCCATGATCTATGCCTTGAATTTGAAAGGCCTGCTACTTCTTCTCGTCTCAGTCGCATCAGGTGGCTGAAAAAAAAAAATTGATAGTTTACAGACATTGGCAAACTCACAGACTATAACTACCAAAACTTTAACTTTCATAACTAAGTGGTACCACTGCAAGTATCTTTGGTATTTTATCAACAGGTGAAATCTCGGTTTCATTTCTATAGTAAAGGAATCTGTGATTATCATTATTCCTCTATTCCATGTTAGTCGTGGGGACCGATAATTCAGACTGGCTTACGGCCCAAAGCTGTCCGTTCTTGCTTGCGTGAGATAGGCTACAAACTTGAAAACGTGTACCATATAACAGGTTCATTTCTTATGTATGAGTCTGTATATAATAAAGACATCCCAATCTTTGGATTTAGATTGTCAGTCACCCGTAACCTGAAGTGGTCATCCAAACATATTGGTCGACACAAGCAGAAGCATATTTGATTACATTACTGGAGAGCATTAAAGAGATATTGAGCACAAGTTAAGATTTCAAAAGAAGCTTTTATTTTAAAAAATCATAAAAGAATCCGTTTGTGTTCTTATCGAAACTGTCTGACTCATTTCTCAATGTAAACAGACAAATTATATATAGATGTAGGTAGACCGATTTACA